TGCAAAATCTTTTTTAATATTCTAATAATTGTGTTGTAATGTAATTGGCTTTTGCATATCCTATGCATTTTCTTCATGCATGTAGAAACATTGTCCTATAGGCTTTCTCAGACTGCCTGCCCGCTCCACAGCACAAAAATGTTCAAACACCTCTGCACCTATCTTCTGTTTTATCTAAGACAAAGTAATTTAAATTTGTAAAACTCTGGCAGGTATTTAAAGCCTGAAACCAAGGAAAGCAATCATAAAAACTGTGATTTTGCATAATCTTAGAAGGTTAGTATAGATGAGCTAGACTAATGACTGAAATGAAAAATGCTTTCAGAACAAAATGTGCTGGATTGATAATGTAAGAAATATCTTTAACTATAAACATCTTGAGAAAGCGTAATACGAAATTCAGAGGGCAATTATGATAAATCAGGACTTTGAAATCCTAGAACATAAGGACTAGTTAGATGCGTACACTCTGAAATCCAGATCGTTCTTGAAACATGGTTGATTTAATCAATCCCCTTCTACTGGAGTTCAGAAAAAGGAGAGTGGAAAATATGGAATGCCTAAACAATTTGCATCTCTTGCAAAGAGCTGTATTCAATTTAAGCATCTCAAAATACATTCATTATGGTTAGCATTCCTGTGTCATTTATATAGGATTTCACTTATAAATCTTGTGTTTTATAATGAGAAAATACTTTATCCACTTGCCCAACTTAGGTGTTTAGGATTCAGAATAGGATTGTCCTCAATATATAAAGAAACATCTAGCCAGAATTTGGGCTGAATTTCAGAAATGGCCTAGTACTGTTCTGACTTTACTATAGCATTACTTTATAATTAACAAATATTTATTAAGTACCTCCTATATGCTCGGCACCTGGGACATGACACAGAAAAGACATAATCCTTGCTCTCAAAAACTTACAGTCTAATTAGGGATACGTTAACAAGGCAGAGTAAATGCTATAGTAAGAGTAAGCTTCAGTTACTGTGAAAGTGAGTAAGGCACCTTATTGGTCTTTGAGGACTCAAGGAAAGCATCCCAAGAAAATGACCCAAAAGCTGATACTTGAACTAGTACGAATTAGCCAAGTGAGGAGAAAAAAAGACCAGTGGAGATATGTAAAGGGAGAAAGAGCAAGAGCAAAGGAGATTTGGGACACTGCTTGAACTCACTATGACTTTATAAACCTGAAGGCAGAGGCTGTGGCCAGAGCTGAAGTAGTCAGCATGCTCCAGACCGTGAAGGATATTCTAAATCAGGCGTGTCCAATCTTTTGGCTTTTCTGGGCCACATTAGAAAAAGAAGAATTGTCTTGGGGCACACATAAAATACACTAATGATAATGATAGCTGATGAGCTTTAAAAAAATTCTCATAAAGTTTTAATTTGTGTTGGGCCACATTCAAAGCCATCTTGGGTCGCATGCAGCCCACTGGTCACAGGTTGGACAAGCTTGTTCTAAATTATGTTGATAGACTTCATCCTGAAGACACTGAGGAAATAGGAAGGGTTTGGACAAGATGGTGGATGGCATGCTCACTCTCTCAGTCCATTTAGGCTGCTGTAACAAAACACCACAAATTAGATGGCTTTTAAACAGCAGTAATGTATTTCTCACTGTTCTGGAGACTGGGAAGTCCAAGGTGATGGTGCCAACAGATTTGGTATCTGGTGAAGGTCTGTTTCATGGTTCATAAATGGCAACCTTTTACTGCATCCTCATGCTGTGGAAGGGGTGAAGAGTTTCTCTCTGGCCTCTTTTGTAAGGGCACTAATCCCAATTTGTGAGGTCAGAGCCTTCATGGCCAAGTCACCTCCCAAAGGCCATGTCTCCTAATACCATCACCTTTGGGGTTAGAATTTTAACATCTGAATTCGTGGGGCGGGGGGGACACAAATGTTCAGACCACAGCACTCACAGTGTACCTTGCACGCATAAGTTTGTTTGCACTATGAAGAATAGATTGTGCAGGTAGAGACATAACTAAACAAGAGGAGATGACAGTAAAATAAAGTGAGACTGATGTTAGTAGAAACTCAGGTGGTGGCAATAAGGGTGGAGAGAAGTGGATGGGTTTTTTATTAAATAAATATGTAGAAGTTGGAAGTAACAGCTATTGAATTTGAGGAGGTAAAGAGAGGAAATCAGGAGTGGCACCCAGATTTTTGTCATGAGCACTGGGTGACTTGGTGGCAGAGAATCATGAGTTCAGCTTGGGAAATGTTGGGTATGAAGTTCTCATTCCATATCTAGTACTTACTATCCCTATGGCTTTGGGCAAACCCTGTAACCTTTTTAAACCTAAAATCAGCATCTCTAGTTTAGATCTCTATTTTTATTTTATCATCTTTATTTTAGATCTCTATTTAGCATCTCTATTTTTACCCATTCATCAACTGATAGACACTTGGATGTTTTCATTCCATTCTATTTTAGAGACACTAATTCCTCCCTGGCCCATATGGTGTGATGAAGCCCTAATAAAATTATGTAAGTGCGAGTCCTTTATAAACTGTTAACCACTGTACAACTGAAAAGTGCTAAAATTCAGATCATTGTTCCAGTAACTGATTAAAACCTTCTGCAGGCCGGGCGCGGTGGCTCACGCCTGTAATCCCAGCACTGTGGGAGGCCGAGGCGGGTGGATCACGAGGTCAAGAGATTGAGACCATCCTGGTCAACATGGTGAAACCCCATCTCTACTAAAAATACAAAAAGTTAGCTGGGCATGGTGGCGCGTGCCTGTAATCCCAGCTACTCAGGAGGCTGAGGCAGGAGAATTGCCTGAACCCAGGAGGAAGTGGTTGTGGTGAGCCGAGATCGCACCATTGCACTCCAGCCTGGGTAACACGAGCGAAACTCCGTCTCAAAAAAAAAAAGAACCTTCTGCAATATCGTCATTACTATCATGAATTATCATCTGGGTAAGTAAGTAATTACAGACCTAGGAATTAGAAGACTGAAGGGTCAGTCCCAGCTCTGCTGCCTGCTGGCTCTGGGGTCTAAGCTTCTGACCTGCAAAATGAAGAGATTGAACAGCTCATCTCCAAAGATTCTTCCAGTCCTAAAATTCTAAGAATGCTACTGACTATTCTATTGAATATTCAGCATGATCCCAGTAGGTCTAGGTGGATTATTATTATGGAAAGCATTTTAAGAAAAATTTTCAGTCACCATTAACCTACTTTATGGAGAAAAGAAAGCTTTGGCTTTGGCCTTCTGAAAAACTATTAATATACACACAAGCACATATGTGATTAATAGGTTACTTGATAAATATGAGTGTGCAACAGAAACAGTTTAATTGATTATGACTAAGAAATGATAAAATGTGATTTATTTGCTGCAGTGAACAGTCAGGAAAGATATAAAATAATTCTAGCATTTCTTATTGAATTTCGTTTTGTGAATATAAATACATAAAGAAAGCTTGGTTTTTTTTTCTAATGCCATTGATGCAAAGAGCAGAAAGTATGTAAAATCCTAAACAATTTCCTTCATTGTTTTATGTTCTGTGTTGTTGAATATAAACAATGAGACACTCCTGGGGCTTTTCCTTCCCCTTAGTTTTTACTTTTTTTGTTGTTTTTTTTTAAATAAAATGTTTATTTCTCTGAAAATACATACTATATCATATTTTTAACAGTTTTATTGAAGAAAAAGTCACCTTATACAATTTATCCATTTGAAGTATACAATTGAATGGTTTTTCATTTTTTGGGTTTTTTTGTTTTTTGCCACCACCCCCACAACACCTTGAATTGTTTTTAGTATATTCACAGGATTTTACAACCATCAACACAATCTAATTGTAGAACACTTTATTTCCCCAAAAAATAAAGTCCATACAGTCACTCCATTTCCCTCACCCATCTCACTATGCTAGGCCTTAGCAACCACTAATCCATTTTCTCTCTGTAAAGATTTGTCTATGCAGTCCTTTCACATAAATAGAATATTGCAATACGTACTCGTAGTCTTTTTTCTGGCTTCTGTCACTTAGCAAAATGTTTTCAAGGTTTATCTGTGTTGTAGCCTATATCAGTACTTCATGCCTTTTTTATGGCCAAATAATATTCTATTATATGTATATATGGTACTGCTTTTTATTTTCCCATTCATCAACTGAAAGACACTTGAATGTGTCCATTTTGGAGCTATTGTGAATAGTGCTATTTGAACATTCATATAAACAAGTTTCTGTGTGCATATACATTTCACATGGAGGTATTCTCTTGAGTATACACCTAGGAATGAAAGATTTCCCAATTTGTAGACCTCAGGACTTGATGTCTGCTGTCATCGTTGCCGGGGGAACTCTTTATTTCAGTAGAAAGAGGAGTCATAAGCGGCAACTGATAGAAAAGCAACTGGATTTCCTTTGAAAACATGTTTAGGCTCAGGTGTTTATCTAATTATGCACAAATTACTTGTTATCAAATTTATAATTACTGTGGGGTAAGAAATGTTTACTGCAGTACATTAGACAGGTTCATAACCTAAGCTTGAGATGTGCTTTCTTAAGAGACTTCACAACTTCAGTAACACTTGTTCTAGGTAATATTGGTCATTTAATACAGAGGTTGTGCCTATGAGCTAGAGAGTATGGGAAAACTTGATAAATTTATTACACACCCTCTGAGAAGTTTTACTTTTATATTAATACAAGCACTGATAAAACTGAATACAAAATTCACAGTAAATTTTTAAGCTACCATTGTGACTTCAAAGCTCATAGCCTCTAGTTATGCCCCAGGCCCCCGGTCTTTGCCCCTCGTAGGGACAGGTTCTCTCTGATTTGCCCTCAGGGTATTGGCTATAAGATTTGAGAAGCACTGATGAAATGAATTTATTTTTTCACATGGTTTTTGACATGAATTCAAAATAATTTAAATGGTATCTCCTCAATGGAGCATATGGAGCTAGCAGTTAAAAGACTCTGCATTAAAAAATCATAATCCTGGGTTTAAATAACTTTAAGAAATACTGGGTTTAGTACTTGCTTCGGCAGCACACGCACTAAAATTGGAATGATACAGAGATTCTCATGGCCTCTGCACAAGGATGACAGGCAAATTCACGAATTCTGCATGTTCCATATTTTTTTATTTAAAAAAATGTTTTAAAAAGACATAATGAGTTTAAAAAATTTATGGTTTCTTTCATTTAAAACTTCTAGATGCCAAAGAGTTCTCTTATCCCTTGCTCAAAATGAAAGCTCTAGAACTACCTGCTACATTCTTCACACTGTGGCCTGCAGGGCTTTTTGGCAAAGTTACACCTTTGCCTTTTGTTTCACAAGTTAAATTGTAAATTGACCAAAACCATCAATTGGAAATCATCTCCAATGTTAACCTCAGAGCACTGAGAAGAGATTCATGAGAGGGCACTCTTTCTAGCTGTAAAACATTCTAATTTTATTAGTCACTGAATACAGTTTTGCTCACCTGCAGTGTTTTTCTTCTCTCATTTTGTCATGTGTAGCCAAGTTGAGCTTGGTAATGCCATTTCCATGTTTCACCTGGGCTACTTTCTGATAAAATGGCTTTGGGCTGGCAGACAGATTTTCTGTGACTAATTAGACATGAAAGGGTGATATTTTTCTACATAATTTCACCTTTAGTGCTTTAAATTGATTTTTCTTCCCTACAGCTTACATTTTTCTCTCCCCTGAATTTGTGAGGGGAAAAAGTCCTAAGGAGGAGAGTGCCAGTGCACAGTACAATGAAGATATCCGAAGAGATTGCTGACCGATCTCTACACAAATCACAGGTCCTTTCTGCTGCCTTGCACCCCTACCTGACCCCCACGCCTCTGTCCTCGCCTACCTGCATGGACCTTCTGGTGTGGAAATGGAGGGAACAGCTCCACTTCCACTGGTCCTGCCAACCATGTACTCCTCCATGCTGACTCTGATTCCTTCATTAGCTCACTGTCCTCAACTCTAACCTGTTTCCTTATTAGGCCCACTGTGCTCTTACTTCACAGTTCACTACAAAGTAGCATGACATAATAGGATGAACCCAAGTAAATACCGTTTAAGAGTCATTACATGGCAAGTTCAGGAAAGATGAGTCTTCCCTTTTTTTGGGTAAGAATTCCAAACGTCAAAAAAAAAATGGAGCCCCTCCAGAGTGGTAGATGTCATTGCTTTATTCAGAGTGGCTTAGGAAGAACCTGGTATATGCACAATATAGCAAAGTTTATAAACCACATTTAGTGGAAAACAAGTGCAGCTAGAAGATGGGAAGGAATTGGATTCATCCTAGTTTAGAGCTGCTTTTTATTCCTACCAACAATCGTTTTCCATGGAGCATTTGGTGAATCTTTCTTACTGAGTTTTGTTTCCTACCTGTACTTTACATGAAAATTCTTTCCTAGCAGATAAATCTCACTCATTTCAATAACTTCTTTTATTATACTCCAAGGTATTAATGTTAATTTTTAGACAGATTCCTTAGTTTGGGCCTGGCATGCTGGTTCACACCTGTAATCCCAGCACTTTGGGAAGCTGAGGCAGGTGGATGACTTGAGGCCAGGAGTTCAAGACCAGGCTGGCCATGGCGAAACCCCGTCTCTACTAAAAATACAAAAAATAGCCGCACGTGGTGGTGCAAACCTGTAATCCCAGCTATTTGGGAGGCTGAGACAGGAGAATCACTTGAACCCAGCAGGCACAGTTTGCAGTGAGTCCAGGATGCACCACTGCATTCCAGCCTAGGCAACAGAGCAAGACTCTATCTCAATTTTTTTTTTAAATTTAAAGTTAAAAAGCAAAGGGCAGCCTTCAGTCAAAACCAGTAAGAAGCTGTTGAACGGCCACAAATAAATGAATTCTGTCAAAAATCTAAATGAGCTTGGAAGTAGATTCTTATTTGAGGCTCCAGATGAGAGTGCAGTCCAGCTAGTACCTTGACTTCAGTCTTTTGAGACTCCGAGCAGGGGCTCTAGCTAAGCTGGGCCTGGACTTCTGACTCCTTGAAGCTGTGAGATATGTTTTTTCAGCTGCTAAAGTTATGGCAATTTTTACATGGCAATACAAAATAGGAACCACTCTCTAATGATTATATCAGAGCCATTTGTGTTTGTGCTGCTGCTTTATGCCTTTTAGAGTTTGCACAAAACGTTAAAAAATAAAGTTAAGCCCTATTATTTGCTGTACTCTAGTATCAAAAACTGGTACAGTTTTTTCCTCCAGGTTCTGCATGTCACCATTATAAGAAGGCAGAAAAGGGCCAGGTGTGGTGGCACATGCCTGTAATCTCAGCACTTAGGGAGGCTGAGGCAGGCAGATCACTTGACCTCCAGAGTTTGAGACAAGCCTGGCCAACATGGTGAAACCCTGTCTCTATAAAAAAAAAATACAAAAATTAGCTGGGCATGGGGGCGTGCAATTGTAATCCCAGCTACTCAGGAGGCTGAGGTGGGAGGATGGTTTAAGCCCAGGTGGTGGAAGGGGCAGTGAGCTGAGATCGTACTGTTCTTCAGCCTGCTCAACAGAGCTAGATGCTGTCCAAAAAAACAAAAAGAGAAAAGGCAGGAAAGCGTGCAGTCTTCACCTCAATTTACCTAACTCACAAGACCCAAAAAGACTGAATGGGATTTTTTTCTATATTCCATTTCGTTTGCCACTTTCATTTCTATTGCTCGTTATGGCTTTTTACAGTCTTTACATATTATTCTTTTTTTAAGAAAGGAAAAAGCACATTTGAATAAATTGTTGAGTTATTTTTAAAGTTACATCTGTTGGACACACCAGGAAAACCAAATGAACAGGGGGGAAACTAGCAGCATGTCACATTAAGCACAAAAGGGTAAGATGTTATACACAGCTAGGTACTTGTGCAGAAATACAACACACAGAAAAATCTTTTGAACTATTAGTTCTTCAGCGATTACAAAAATGAAGCTCCAAGAATGAGTCCATTGAAAAGAAAAGAATAATAATGCTGAATTAAAGTACACTATTCCATTCAGTGCATAACTGATTATTTTATTTGAAAGTGACCTATGTCATCTTTACTTCCCTCTCCCCTTCCATCAATTAAGAAGTATTTAAAAAAATAAGCTTGACTTAAGGGTGGCCTTTTATTATTTTCTCACAGGATTTCCTGATGTCCACATTGGATTTGCACAATTTCAATTAATATGGGAGTATGCTGGCCAAGTCTTTTTGAGGGTCTGATGAACTCATTAATAAAAAAAACCAATTTATAGCATTTCAGTCGACTACTTTACTAATCAGCACCCACTGAAATTAGAGCAGAGTTACCATCTGTTGAGGAAGCAGCAGATAGTATAAATGAATTCGAAGGTCCTCCAGGGTCCAGCGTTTTGTTCTGTGTGTGCATTTCCATGTCCCCGTGAAGGGCACAGGAGTGCTCACCAGTGAAACTCTGAGTTATCTTATCTAAAGCCTTTGAATATTTAAGAATTGGGATTTTGGTCTTTTATAATGTCTTTGCGTTCCCATCCTCTGGGTACCTATTGAATTCATAGGAAATCAAAAGTCTCTATCTTGCTTAATTCTTGTACAGCAAGCCAAATGCTGAAAAGATTTAGCAAATGGTAATTAGAGAAATCATCTAGTAGACCAGCATTAACTATTTATTTATAGATTCTGTGACAATTCTGGTAAAAATGAGCAAGAGTTTAAAAAAGCAGGGAGAGATGTGTTTTTAAAACCACTCAAGAATCCCATTGTTTCTTAAGTCCTGGTAACACTCTGGAGATATATGACTTATCTGACTAAAACCAAATTGACTTACTATCCCCTATTTAAATCGTGAGTAAAATATGAATATTATTAAAGACATATGAATTTATAAACATATGAAATTACTAAAAGAAATACTAAGATCACTACAGTGATCAAATAAATGACCACTGATTTTGTTTACTTGCCAGGAAGATAATCATATCATTGAAGAAATTCAGAGGAGGTCACTCAAGATGAGAAGTCGGGGACTGACATATCCCAAGAAAAGAAAGTTGATTATGATTATGCTAATTAAGGACTAAAGCCTGTACATTGAAGAAGGTGGAATGAATCCACAGTACTGATACAATTGATTAAAACAAATCCCATGCTGGGTGTGATGGCTCATACCTGTAATCCCAGCACTTTGAGAGGCCAAACAAGGGGGATGGCTTAAGGCCAGCAGTTCAAGACCAGCCTAGGCAATATGGACAGATGCTGTTTCTACAGAAACTTTTTAAAACTGGCTTGGCATGATGGCATGTGACTACAGTCCCAGTTACTCAGGAAGCTGAGGTGAGAGGACAGCTTGGGCTCAGGAGTTCAAGGCTAGAGTAAGCTATGAGTGTGACACTGCACTCCAGCCTGGGAGACAGAGCAAAACCCTATCTCTATAATAAATAGATAAGTAAATAAGTACCAGTTCCATGTTCACCATTCACAGAAGACTTCAACTGGGCCTGGTGATGGTTTAGATACCACAATCATTGATTATCTTTGGCTGATAGTTCATTGTTATTTATAAGGTATGGCTGGAACCAATTGTGGGAAAACTGGAACCATAGCATCCAGTTTTGATATTTCCGAAACAAGAAGTTTTGTGAGTGAAAACTGGTTTTACAGTGCCTCCTCTTGGTTTTCACCTAATAAGGCAAAACAATGTGCCTACAATAGGATAGGAAAATGATCAGATTTTTAGGTTTACACTGCTACCTTGGTTTGGAGACATACGTCACGCACTATTAGTGTCTTTTCAGCTTTGTTTTAGACTTATTTTGTTATAGAGTCATCAGATGTATAAAATGGTGGAATGCTGACAGCGCAGTAGCATTTATGATTTTGTTAACAATTGACATGACATAAGCAATGAATGGGAACAAAGATAGAAGTAAACATAACTAATATTTATAGAATTCTCCCCACCTAAATTCCTGTTTTGCCAAACCCAAACTGTGACAGTAGATGTCATGGACTGGTTTGTTCAATCTGAACAACGAATTGATTTGCTCTTAAATTTTATGCAAAAGCTCCTCAACCGTCCTGAAACATTCATTCAGATGAAACAGGGAGGTTAACCAGTGTGAAAACAGACCTTAATTTTTCATAAATCATCTGCAATTCTGTTAT